TTAATGACTTTCAGAAGTTTGATTGAAACAATTTATGAGAAACAGATAGTTTTCATTTAGGACATTATTATATTTCATTCTTTTCTCAATATTTAACTCGGCTTTACTCAACTTTTCAAGTTTAATTTCATACGCTTTTCAAATTTAAAATAGGATTAGCAGCAATGCTTGTTTCGGAAACTTTACGATTAGCAATAACCCTGAAGTTTTTTTCGGGAACTTTGCTATGTAAGAAACTTACAGTTTTCCTGGCTGTATTAGCACTAGCGGTAAATTTGTATTCAGTAATTTATCTGACAATGCAGTAAACCACGTGCTACGACAAAAAAAATGACTGTAGAAGAAAATTAAGAAAGATTAAAACAACGCATGATGGAAGGAGAAAAGCTTTTCAATCTTCTTTGACCTGTTATCATTGTTGACAGATTATCTTCAATTTACTCTTTCAAAGTTGCGATTAGCAAGAAAAAAAAGCTTATATTGCATTTTCTAGAAGTTTTTCAAGAATTTTAAATGAAGATCAAATATTCGACATTTCAAATATGAAAGCAAAAAATTTTAAGTCACTAGGCTGACAACATAATGCTAAGCCAATAACTTTAGGATTTATTGCGATTTAATAATCGTAATATGATCCTAATATGATCCTAATGATCCTAATATGATTAATATGATCCTTCGACGTTAATACGATAGGATTGTCACGTCAGTACTTCCTTCTATTTCCTATCCATTGCTTCACTCTTCTTAGATGTCAGTTCAATTATTACTTACTTTCCCTGAATACTCTCTGCGATTCGTGCAAATCCCTCCGATAATTTTCAAATTTGTTCATAATTCTTTCAACAAACATTTCAAGATTCTGACAAAAATCTATGCGTACATGTATTGAACTTCACACTTTATTTCAGATAACGTGAAATTCAGCCTATGTGGAAAGAAATAAGACAGAAAGTTGTTGTGGTGATTGGAAGATTGGACTCATGAGAAAATTTTGTGGGACGAATAATTGCGGTTGCGTAAAATTCGCATAAATGAATGATTCAATGATTCATTTTCTTTCATTACAAATGACAAGACTAGCAATATTAATAGATTTTCGGGACTATTTCGAGAATTTACTCTTGGATTCACCACATCATTTTATCAACTCGGAAATATCAAAGGTTAAAGACGTGTAAAGCAATAAAATTGTTTTTGTAAGTATCAAAGTTCAATAATGATAATGCCAGCTCATTTCACTATAATTATCGTTGTAATAGGATTTACTGAAACTGCTTATTTTCAGTACAGCGATTTGTTTTTAATAGCTCATGTCAGGCGGGGTCGCAAATGTCTGGGACACTTGCGCATTTTTCGCTGATTCATTTTTTATAATATTGGTTTTTTAGTACTTTTCTAATTTTTGAAACAAGAAAAAATTATACTTCCCTTAAATTCAGTGCTGAGTACCTTAAAACAATTTGTCATAAATGATTTCTAGTACAATTCACTAAAATCATAGGTCTGTTACAAGCTGAGTACCACTTTGGAACTATTTGAATAACTATTAGTTGTCTGAAAGTTCCCACAGGAGCTAACAATTCGAGAAATCCGACTAATTATGTCAATGGCATTATGTGTATATTTTTCTGCATCACATAAATATCAAGGTAGACTATAATTTTTTGTAAAAGAATTTCGAAACTGATGGAAGAATCCAGAATAGTGATAAGGGGAGTACGAGAGTATCTGTCCCCCAGTATTCGAACAAAACGGGAGAACGGAAAATTTAGGGTGAAAATGATATGACCTGCTGATGATGACCACTGATTGCCCATTTAAACACTCGGAGTGATTGAAGATAGTGCAGTGTCATGTGTGCATGTGTTGTAATGTAGTTTTCATGGAAGCAGGACTATTACCCCAAATTCCATTGATTAAATGGACAGAGATACCTAACATACTACTCGAATATCACTGTCTTATATCAAAATTGCTCTGTACAATATGTAAAACTACTATGAAAGCGAAATTCTTTGAGTCACATTAAATCATTTTGTACTTCATAATTTGTTGACTTTCTACTAAGTTAGTTTTTGGTCCTAGCAACGATTACATCAGGACTGTTTTAAGTATTTCTATGAGGGAGAGTAGATGGATTATATTATTAACATGCACAATACACATCTCAGTTTGACGTTTACATTGTCCTTGCAAATGTACAACGTATATTATGGTTACACAGGTAATGTGATGATTAACGATCAATTCCAATCATTGATTTCTTTTTAGTTTTAGCCTCATGACAACATCTTTATAATTGATCACTCTGTTGAGGACAATCTGAGACGATGATATTGACCAGTAGGTGGGATAAGTAACATTCGCACAGACAGTTTGGCGGTGCATAAATTATTAACATAATCAAAATTAACGAAAAACAGAGGAGAAAAAATGTTCGGTTCCTTACTTCCTGGATTAATTCAGGCAAATTGCTGATTAGTACATTGAGATTGAATCCGGTACATACAAATGACAACCATTGATTGGGACAGTTTTTGCAGTCACAGAATTTTGAAAGGTCAACATGATTTGCCATCTCTAAGCAGCATTTGTGGGCATACATTTATGTGGAATAAAGTTGAAGCAATCATTTGAAGAGTACATTCAGGTATGTTTTTTTTTTTGTCATTTTTCTCATTGATCAACTTATTAATTGCTTCCATCAGTGAAATAACAAATCTTTTGCGTATTTCTGAAGATCGAAGATCGGTACGGTTTCTATAATGACTCTAAGCATAGTCGTAGCATTACTTGCTTCATTTTGTGATTTTTCTTTTTGAAGAAATAGATTTAATCGTTGTAATTGAACAATGTGTATTGCCAAGAAGAAGATGAAATGCAATTCATTGAAAAAAGTTAGCTGGCAGAAAGCAAAAATGTGATATGTGTCTAAATTGAGTATCAGAATTAGTTATTAATTTTAGGAGATCAATAAGTGATGTTTAATCGCCATGCTGCTAATTACAAATATTCAGGAAGAACTTGTTTTCTCATCTTTTTTGATGTTTTAGTTATGGGTAACGATAATATTGCATTCATTTCTTCCTTCATTTTCTGACCGATCACATCAATCTATTTCTATTCTAAACTTTACACTTTGCCATCTCCGTTTTTCTTTTCATGCTTTTGTGATTGGTTGTTAAAAGACTGCGTTTTGTTTTGTTAGTTTTGTCGCTTAAAGGAATTATAGATGACTTTTTTGATGCTGTAAGTTTAATTTCTATAAAATATGCAAATTCATCTTGTGTAAAAAATGGTAAAGTTTTTTTTTCGGACAACACTAGTGACGGAAAATATCGGCTGCACCTTTTGTAAGAGAAATAGAAGTTATAACACTTGGTGAGGAAGCAGAACGTACTCTAAGGAATATCGCTTTGATAGCTTCCACCAATTCACGTTTTTATGATTCTAAGGAAATTATCATAAGTAAATATTCAGATGGGCTAAAAAGTGGATTCAGATAGGCTAAAAATGTGGACGTCCAAGCACATTTTCAGAATATCGTACTAAATTTTAAAAACCTTGACAATCTATGAATCAAAACAATTAGTAAACAGTTTGTTCTTTGCTTTTATCAGTATTATACAGTGCTTTGTCAATATTATACAATGATTTTTTCCCACATGGATCGGGCATCACTGACCTCTTATCATTTTGATTTAGTCATTCACTCTTATCTTTTGACTTCTCACTCTCAATCGGTTGATGAAAAAAAAAATCGCTTATTTCGAAGTGCAAAGATAAAAAGTACACGACGAAAGTGAATAGATTTTCCCTTATGATATACAACTCATATTGTAGTACTTCTTTTCAGTACCTTGATAAAATCATATTCTTGTCTTTATTTACAGGATATATTCGATTTCGAATTTTCAGTTTAGGTTAAGATTAGTTGGAGCTGCTCAACGAAATACATCAACCGTATTAACGAAGAGAGAGGAACTTTTCAGTGTTCAGCATATAGATCTTTACACATTCTTTCACTCGATCAGGAAAATTAGAGAGATAGTCGAACATCATCAAAACGGTGATGTCAATTTCATCGAGATGCAGTTATCACACGCTGCGATACATTCTTCTTTGGTGACAAGGATATTTTAGATATCAAAAGGTTATGAATGAATGCTTGGCAAAGTAATCAGGAAGAAGTTGACTTGCATCGAAAATAAAATCGTTTTGCTTTGTTGCTGAATTCTTCTAATTTAATTCATTTTAACATATCTGATTTTCATTTTCTGGATGAGAAAATATAGCTCTATTACTTGCAATGAAGTGCAGAACAAAGCTTGAAGAGTTATAGATCTGAGGGAAATTGCCAAGGTTATATCTTTTCAAAGAGGAGTTAATTTTGTTCTAGCATAGAAAAGATGCTAGAAATATTTACTGGGACATCACTGAAAATCTAGATACCTTAAATAAGCAATCACTCAACTATCGATCCATTATTCTTTAGAGACTTAATTTCCAAAAGTTACATTTCCAACATTTGTTCATTTGGATAAACATTATCCTTCAAATTTAATTCCCGCTCTTGGTTATGATCACCATTTAAAAGACATCAATCAGAGAAACGTTATTCATCAACTACGTACAGCAAATGGCCTTCGGACCGATCGGTCGCGCTATCTACTGGTGGTTGTAGCATTATTTCCCGTTATAATGGATGAATGAACGAAGGGCGAAGAGAAGGTTTGAGAGGGAGAGAGAGAGACAGTTTTATCTGTGTCTTGCAGAGAAAGAATAATACTTCAACCATCGTTGTCAAAAGTAATCATCAACATTTTTTCATACTATTCCACTTTTATTCCCTTCTATCTTGCTCTGTTCCATGATGTTTCCCTTCTACATTTAGTATTATGATAATCATAATCATTCCTGCCTGAGTTACCATCTGTTGTCACTTTCAACTAGTTACTGCTACTACTTCTTCGACACTTCGTCACCAAGTTCCTCTCCATCTTTCCCCTTCTCCTTCTCAACCTCTGATCGCATCACACGGCAACAGTCGTCATCATCAAAATCACCTTCACCATCATCGTCAACCTTCACGAACATTCCTATGCGCGCAGTCAACCATGTTTATGCAAAACACTTGACTTTGAATCGTCATCCTTCCTCTTCTGCTGTACTGTCGGCTAAATTCAGCAAAAGTAGTTCTCTTTCTAATAATTATGCTATTTTAAATTGCTTTTTAAGTTCTGCTATGGATTGGGATGACGAGTCATTTCGTCATCATCATAATCATTACTTTCTAGGATTTCTTTCCCACCACATACTTTTACTTTCAAAAGTTCTGCAGCTATTTCCTAAAATGGACTATTTTTAAAATTTCTATATTTGGATTAGAAGTACTAAAAGAAAACTTTCAGTCCTATGTAAGTAAGTTAAATGATCAGCGTTAGAATGACCATTAGGACAGCGGACTTGCATTTATCTCATGTTTTCACAGTAATACAGTAGTTGCATCTAAGATCAACATTACCATCAGCTCAGTAATGAATTGTTACATTCACGGTCGAATGCGGTATTTCAAGCCATTGATTACAAAAGTCCTTTTGTTGCGATATTAACCGTCTTGAGTTAAACTGCACACTTAGCGGGGTATTTGAGCGACTATCTCGGTGTCACTAAAATGTGGACATTGGTCACACCTAATCTCTACTTATTCGCCTTACATCATTCCACTAACTTAATATTATTTCATAGTTAATTCCTTCCACTAAATTTATGTTATGTTTGAAACAATGAGTGATTAATGAAGAAGACTGCACACAACGGGAGGAAAATTTTGTTTTTATTGATGTATTGTCTGAGCAATCTTCTTGGTATTCATAATATTTTGATATATTAGTAAAGTTATGCAACTAAGTTATCTTCAGTATAATTCTCTCTCTCTCTCTCTCTCTCTCTCTCTCGTCAGCTCCATTCCCATTATCAAGTTTCTCTCCCAATACACATCCACTTTATTAAACATGTTAATACTGTAAAAAGAAGTGTTTTTGAATTTCCTACAAACTAATGATAACTGATTGGACGAGGAAGGAGATTCTCGCCAACTTTTTTCAGTCATCAGTTCCTTGAACCAATGGTTTACCTATATGAAATATCTCTATAACGATCATTATTGGTTTTGGTTACAGTTACAAGCTAATAACTCACTTAGGTACTGTCATTTTTGGCTTACCTTAACGAGAACTATGGTAAAGGACAAACGTTCATGATGTTCTTCTTTATCATTTGTTTACGTTAAATTTCAACTTCCACTTTTAAATTAGTTCAAGTTAAGGCTTGCTTGCAGCATATCATAATCGGTAACTTACTGATTGCTTTTATTGATGAAAATTGTGCGACAAGTGTCATCCATTGTTGTCGCACTATTATTTACAATATAAGAAAATTAATTGCATATCGTTCAAAAAATATAAATGTGTAATTGATTTCTGGTGTCCTCAATGTAAATCAAAATTTCTGCACAGTCTCTCATCATTTAACTAAAATCAGTAATCGGTTAAGGATATTCATAAGGAATTGATAATTTTGAAGAATATCTTCACAGATTTCAATTATCAGCACAATAATTATCTCCAGTGTCACATTATCAGTACCATCATCATCATGATCTGCATTATTTGGTTGATTCTGTATAAATTCAGCCAAGATCAAGAAGGTAAATGGAAGAAAACGTAGAATGTTATTACATTGAATTTGCTTTTATCCCTTGAAGAATCTAACCTTATGCTATGCGTGCATCTGAAGCTTGTTGTACACGTGAACAGGCGCTTACGTGAAAATGGAAAAAAAAAAAAGTGAAATTGATAGAGTGATAAGTTGTACTGGATAATCGCTATCATGACTTTGTCTTCTTTCTTATCACCGTTAAAATAAATCCTGTGATATGAAGTGAGCAAGCGAAAGTAATCATTCCTTTCAGAGGGATCAACTGCTTATCGCACTGCTGGAAATCTGTAGCAGTCTGATGATTTTTGATGTCACCTAACTATTACATCTGTCTCATTAATTTGTTATTTCCACAGAGAACAAAAGGTTTGTTGTCCTTTAAGTAGTAGAAGACTGAGAAGGGAATGGGAAGTTTGCACGAAGGGAATTTTCTATGTGTGTAATTTTCTGCAAACTCTCTTTATCCAAGCTTCTTTTCCTCTCCCTTTTTCAACAAATCTGAAATGTCAACAGAATTGTACATATATTGATGGTAATTTGACACAAGCAAATTCTCCTGTGTTTCTTCTTAAATATTGTTTGGTTAGTTTGAAATTCTTTATGCAAATTTTTGTTGTTTAATCTTTCGAGTTATGAAAATTCCGCGCTAACTGGTGTTTCCTTATCTATGTATATTTCAGTATTTCATTTTCTGTTACTCTCCACTTGCCGTTTTTTTTTGACCTATTAAATCACCCATTATCTGCGACCCTTACACCCCTCGTTCAGGTCTTTTATGCTTCACACCATCTGTTATGTCCAATGATTAATTTATCTTTGGTCATTTAAAGATTTAATATTTTTAACAATGAAGTTTTTCACTGATGGACTGATGGGATTACAGTTTGGAAAAGTCGTCTTGCACTTTCTCTTAAATCACACTTCCTTGCTTTGCTTTCTTGAATTTTGACCTTCCTTTATTAAGATTCGTTTTGTAAATAAATTTGTCCAAATTCCGTCTACGGTTAATCATATGAACAATTGTAAACTTAACCCTTCCTACCTGTTTGACTTTTCAAGTCATATCAATTTACAGGTAGGAAGGATTAAGTGACCATCAATACTTTTTTCAAAAGTATTGATGGACATTTTCGTAGGTCAGAAGTATCCAGAAACAAAATTTGATCCTGACATTCTTGTTTTATATAAAATTGTTACGTAATCCCTAATTTCTAATTGCACGAATTTCCTTGAAAGTTTTAGCTTCCTGCAATACAGTGGAATAAAAATATCCTTGATTCCTCGTATTGGAAGAATTGTTTAAACTTAGTTTCCTTAAAAACGTTGTAGTTCAGGATTAGTAAGGTGATTAAAGTCCAAATGTTGACCTGTTAGTTAAAGTAATTGTAAGACTCAATCCTAGCAAATTCTAGTGTTAGACAAACAGGCCGCTGACTTATCATGGCTGAAATATTTTTCATTTTCTCCAAATCATAATTTGATAATTTCCTGATAAACTGCTACAAATTCAACAGCCATCAACGACTGTTCATCTTCTATGAATTTCTGGCATTATTTACATTTTTAGATACCATTAATTTCTTCTTGATTTTGCATTTTTTCAATGAGCGTATAAATCATAAAATTCATGTATGATATTTTAACTTGAATTACATTAATCACCGGTAAATTAACAAAATGTTGGCGAAATGGAAGTTTTGTTGGTGACATCTTCTACAGAAGAGCAATGCATCTGTATAGGCCAAATTCTCAGAAGGACTGATCCAATTCTCCGTCTGTATAGGCCAAATTTGCCATCATTTACACAATGGATAGTCCAAGTGCATGCTAATGTTGTGGTAAATTTATATTTGATTTCACTTTCAAAGTTCTGCTCTCTTGTATATGCCTTAATAAGAGGTTTCCGAATTTTGCCGTTTTTAATCTTTTATGTAAAAATTAGAAATGATGAGAACATGTTAATGTAACGTCACTTTTTTAAAATGCCGACTGTGTTGATTGTACGACTGAAAAAGAGTCCACGAAAATCTGTTTTTGCTCAATCGTCGTTTTTAACATTTTTAATCTACATATAAGCTTTATATTACTCATCATTACTACCTTTACTGTTGCATTATCTGAATTGATTCAGGAAGCGTATAGCAATCGGTTAGATTCTTAAAAATATGGATTCTCAGAAGAACTGATCCAATTCTCCGTTGATTTTGGATGATAAATGATGTTCATGTTCATCAGTAACTTTGAAATCATCCATTCCTGAAATGTTGATCGTTTATTTTTCATGCATTTTTTGATTCCCGTAATAAATTCCTTTTAATTATAACAAAAGTTCAACTATTTTAGAAATTAATTTGATTGGGAAATATAAAATGATATGAAAAGTGAAATTCATCAAGTGTGCAGATGTGCGCTTCGCCTTCTTTTTTACCTGCAACGCAATCTTGTACGTTGGATGATATTCTTGACAGTGTTTGACACATGAAAAGAATTTCTTTCGTTGTGCTGTGCTTCCCTTTCTTTCCTCCCTTCCATCCACAATTCAGAAATTCAACCGATGGAATGAATTGGAACATTTTTGGAGTGATGATGCTGTTGGATGGTGAATGTGAATGTGTTAGTCATGCGGTATAACACTCCCGAGAAACTTCCCCATTCCACATTCTATTTCCAGTTTTCACATTTTCTTCTGCTGTTGTTTCAACTGATTTTCAATAACATTTAAATTCTTAAATCGAAATTCATTTCAACGAATGCCTTTAATTTTAAAAAGTCAAAGGAGCTTTTCTCTTAAATCGTAGCTAATACCTCTCACGCGTAAAATAATTATTTGAATGAAAATGAAGCGATAACTTACGTTGTATTGATTACAATATTTGCATGTCTTTACTTTGTTCCATATTTTTAAATTCTTCTAAATTAACCTCGTGTATAATCAAATATAATCGATTATTATTGATTTTTTTTATAACTGCTTGCGGCATTTAAGACCCGTGTTTTTCAAACATTTTAAATTTCTATCAAAAATCGCAGGTTCGGATATTGTGTCAAGGAACAGAGCAACAATCAACTGCAGCAGTACTTCAAAGTTTTAAAATCAATATCATTAGAAGCTGTAACATCGCGTCGAACAAATTAAAACAGCAAAAGTAGTAACAACGACACGATCGACGACGATATGGACCTCTATCCGGTGCCCGATATTGGGCATGTTTCTTTTTCCGGTCTAAGCGAACCTTGTTCCATTGGTTCGATCGTTGAAGTAGTGGTAAGTGATCTGCTATCTCTAGATTTATCTGAGATATTTTATGATTCCATACAATTTCTGGTTCTTTAAAAATTGCAGGATAGTTTGCTTGCATAATGACACTATCGCGACACTGCTCAACAACAAAAAATTTAGTTTGCAAAAAGTTTTAACTGCGGAACAATTTGTTTAGAGAACAGGAAAGTAAGAGTTTTCTGCAGAAAAATTTCCACAGAAGATGATGTATTTTGATGAAAAGTGTACGAAAGGATTCCAGTCACATACAACACTGAAATCATCCATTCCTTGGTGAACGGAAAATGTTGATAACTCTGATTCATGATAAGAACTTGCAGATAAATGCACACGGTGACTCATCGGCTGGTTCTATCCTTGTTGAAGCAATTGCGCCTTCAGGATGTATTAAAAATTGTCAAATACTCAAGAAAGGCAGCGTTTTTACAGCTACTTTCACACCAAATGAAGTTGGTTAGTTTGTTTTGACTTGTTTTATGCTCTGCTTATTTGTTAATTAATTGGTGAATATTAAGGATCTGATTCACTTCCTTTGTTTTTAGCATCTCTGCCAATTATCGACGCGCTTGCTGTGATACTATTTATACTGTAATCAGAACTGAACTCTATTCTAAAATGTTTTATCAGGAATCCGGAATTTTCGCTTTCTAACTGTTATACTTGATGACGTTACCAAATATATCCAAAATCTTAACTTAAATTTCCAAACTGAGTTTATATCTGATTTCCTTACGGTATCGTTAAGGTGGAATTGAGATTTCGGACAATCACCTGGTTGTTGTTCACCTTCCTTACAGTATACGCAAATAAGATTTACAAATAAATTGTTCTTGTAGTATCATTAGCTGTAAACGCTCTATTTTCTTTCTTTTTTTTTGAATTTTTGTTTGACAGTTTACTGGACGATATTCAGTCAGGAACTTCTTCCAAAAAAGTAGCTTTTGTTTCTAAAGTTCACTGGATTGGTTGTAACAAAACAGGTACTTCTGCAGCTAAAAGTAGTTTATAAGATTTTCTTATAGCTAAACTATTAGTCTATCAGCAAGCCTTAGAAAATATAAGTCTGCGCTTTCTTTATTAAATATTAGACCTGAGAAGTTCCTATACTCTTTCTATTACTTTATTCATTTGTCTTTTTTTTTTCCTGTAAATACCATAATAGGAATTTTCTGTTGTATTGAGCAGTATAAAAGTTAGAATAGGAACGGGCAATAAGCGTTCACTGAATTTTAAATAACTAACTGGATTATTTGGCTTGTCCTTCTAATGGATTAATAGTTCTTAACGTAGTTCTTCAATCCTTGAAAGGAGTTCTGAGGAAATATTTCAAAGTATGTAGGAGTGGCCTAGATTCTTCTCGGCAGATTCGATAAATCTCGGATTGTTGCATTGGCGTGCTTTCTTGACAACAAATGATTCAGATTCTGGTGTAACTGATAATTCCAATTTTTTCGATTTGCAGTTTTGATTATGATTTTCAAGTAAATAAAATCCTATTACTCATTTTTTTTAGTTCTTCAAATTCAGCTTGACTTTCTGCATCCGTTTTTTCCAGGTAAATGGCAAATTGGTATACTTTACGATGGTGATCACATTCGAGGTTCTCCATTTTCTTGTAAAGTGTACGATGCCAATCTTGTTCAGGTATTTGACTTTCATTCAGCTGACAGAATCACTGAAATAGTATTTTCCAGAAAGGATAAAAAAAACTTGAATAATTTCTAAATAATTTGATTTTTTATTTATGAGAAGTTTGAAAATAATTATTGACATTGAAGTTATTTTTCCCTCTAAATTTAGGTGTATGGTTTGGATGTAGGACTCGTTGGTCAGGAGCTCAAGTTTAGTGTGAATGCATCGCAAGCTGGTGATGGTTTTCTCAAAGTACTCTTTTGAAAATAGTTGATTTCTTTACATTTTCAAAAAAAAATCATGAAATACCTAGCGACGGCAGTTTATGACCTTTGTTTATATTCTGAAATTTAGGCACTGAATCAAATTTTTAAGTTTTTGATACAGCATAGACTCAACAATAAAATCGAATCGTATACAGTCATTTTAAAGACCAAACAAGCGAAGAGGCTGGTTGACATAAGCAGTTAATAGGAACATATTTGTCATTAAACTGTAACCTAAATTCATAAACCCGCATGAAATCATATGTGAAAGAATTGGAATACAGTAGTAATATATCATAGAGAATCTAAATACGGTAATAATATATCATAAGGAATTTGAATACAGTAGTAATGTATCTAGGAATCTGACTACAGTAATAATATATTACTCATAGAATATAATAATCGAATAATGATCAAAGAAGAATTAACTTTGGCAGCCTACAAAGATGTCTTTTTCCTATTCTTTTAACCCTAAAATAGCATCCATTTCACCGTTAAACATTTTTGTTCCATTGAGGAGTAAACGTAATTAATACCTAGAAATGTTCGATACGATCATAAATTTCCTTTAATAAATACACTTCCTTAAAATTTGTTCTTCCTAAATAATTTTATTTATATTTTAAGAACCATTTAGAAGAAAAATTAGCACTTCGAAATTTTTTTTCTGAATTTCAATCCTAAAATAATTTTCGCCATCCAATAAGGACAAAATCGAAATCAAAAAGAAAAACAATGCTAAAATGAAACTAAACGAAGGATACCATCATATATTCAATCACTGTGATATATTAGGCTGTTCAAATTAAATGCAACAATCTATTTACCGGATAACCGGTATCAAAAGTTTTATCTAAAGCTATGTCCTCCTGGGTCGTATACGCGCGAGACGTATTACACTAAATGATTAAACGATTTTGATTACTCAAATCCAATTCGGAATTACCTTTTGAGTTAAAGGAATAATTATTTCGTTCAATTAGTAAATTACATTTTGTTGCGAAGTTTTTTTGTTCATCTTGTTGGAAATATCCTTGAGTAGTAGAAATTCATGTCACTTTAGTCAGAACTGTCCAGTTATTTACATTTCAAAATTTCTACCGAATAAAGACATGTAAAGTCTGTTTTGATCTTAAATTGTTGGAAATACTATGTTTACAATCAAACTAAGTTTGCTTTTTTGCAACAAAAAAAGAGAGTTAATGTTGATAGGTTTCGGTATTACGACACGGGCGAAGCATGCCATGTGAGGTGCTCGAACAGGGTAATTCCGGTGTTTATCGAATCAGTTTTACTCCTGACGGTGCTGGACAATACAAAATTCATGTCCTCTTTAACAATATGGAAGTTAAAGGTGATCTTTACACTTACCTGTTCGTGTTATTGCTTATTTCTTTGTGTTTTCAACAAATCTTACTTTCTCCACTTTATAAATCTTTACGTTAGACATCTGTTATCGCCTATTGCAACTATTTCAAATATTCAGATGTTTAAATCTTAATTAATAACAGAATTTTACCGTTTTCTAAATATTTCATAACTTTCCATCCTTGCTGCCAATGTGTTACTTGAAACAGCTAATCATTTCAACAAATAAATCAGGCTTACGAAGGGCTTTTTAATTCAGCTCATTATGTTGCATTCTTATTATATCTGAATTGGCAACCTAATTACAGGTTCTCCGTTTATCTTGGATATAGCAGATGCAAGTTCAGTATCTGTTTACGGTGAAAATTTACGAATTGCTTCAGTTGATCGACTTAATACCTTTTTTATTCATGCAATTGGTGCTGAATGTAAGGATATCACCGTTACTATTACTGGTTTGTATCTTGTGGTTCGCTTTCAATTTACGTAGTTATTCTTTCCCTTCTACCTTTAGTACTTCGTTATTTCACTTATTGCGCCTTTCCCTACGATATTTCAATGCTGTGTAAGCAAGTGTCTGTTTTATCATTTCTGCTTGCTATGAATTATTTGGTCCCTTGAAAGCAGACATCTTTGAATTTTTGAAATAAAAAAGTGGATTTGCAATTTTCAAACAGTATTTTGTATTATATTAAACTGTGATAATTGAATAGAAATGACACACTTTTTCAAATCTTCCCTCCTCATTACTGATATGCAGATTTTAAATTCCATCCTAATCCTATAGACAAGGAGCCTTTCATTTAATAGCTCGTTTTCTTAAATTGATTCATCCACTATCGTCTCATGCGTTTTCTATTATAAACAATTTGGAATAAGGTTGACAATGAGACTAAGATATTAAGAAAAGAAAGGAAGTTAAAAATTTATTTTTGTCAGCTAACTTCTGTTCTTCAGCACCTTCCGGAAAATCGAAACGAGCGCGAGTTTATCAAGCTGACGACGTAACTTACAAAGTAGAGTGGAAACCTGTTGAAACTGGTATGTCAGTAAAGATTAGATCTTTTCTTCTTAGTGTATGAAGAAACTTGTTATGTCGATTAGCTTTTAATAAAAGTTTTAAGGTATTCCCTTCGAAGCGAGGTTTTCTACCTGTTCAGAGCAATGATGAAGTGCAATGTGACTGAAGTAAATTTGTGGAAAAGATGATGAAATGCTTTTTCTTTTAAGCGAAGTAAATAAATAAATAAATGGAAATATTACAGGTGAGCATTCTATCGATGTACGACTCTTCAATCAGAGCGTGTACGAAAGCCCATTTGTATGTAATGTCGGTGATCCGGATTTGGTTACCGTCCGGAATATGCCAGAATTTTTCAATGCCGACGAACTTTTCAGAGATTATACTTTTGAAAGTACGCTTACTTACAATAAATTTAAACTAAAATAGCTCTTATCAATGTATGCTTGCTCTGCTGTGACTTTATTCTCGAGATGTCTCATATCTTGTTTTCTCTCTTTTTTTCTTGCCTATCAGTGAATTCAGCTAATCCAAAATAAGTTAGTTGTTTTATTAAGGAATTCAAAATAAAAAGTATACGATCTTTTTAATCCTTTTTCGATGCCAAAAATTCCACTCTAGAAGCGGTAAAATTTGAATAATAATTTGGCTGCTGAAGGGATAAGTGATAAACAAATATTTTATAACAGTCTGAGGGGATAAACATCCTTGTTACTTTTCTATGTGTCTGTCCTCTAATTTCATTTTAAAATTTATCACTGGCCTATCGTTTTTTTCTTCATTTATATCTTAATTGAGCAATTGTCCCTTTATTCTGTCATTTCTTTCAACTTGTCGCTCTTCGATATTTTTTCCAAAAATACTTCCTCTCTTTTTTTTTCTAATACCTTTAATTATGCGACTGTTTAGTGTTTCGATTAAACATTTAAATTTCTACATGGAGAAAGATTTCTATTTGGAATATTTGGAAGCATTAATAGAGAATTTAAATGAGTTTCGATGTGTGGATTGCATAGTGAAAAGTGTTTAAAATTTTCTTTTTCCTTCAAGCAGATGAATTTATTTTTTGATTAATTAGAGATTTTAAATTTGTCATTAATTTACTTTCTTCTTATTCATATTTTCACTCGTTTTAGTTTGGTTTGATTAAAATTTACGCAGAATAGTTGGGAAGTTAGAACAATATTATGTCTTAGAAAACTTAACTTGACATTCCTAACTAATTGAGACGAATTGAGTTTCCTAATTAATTTCAAAGTATTGTCTATAGCTAATATAATGTAATATAGTACCGCGCTATGTTTTTCCCTTTTTTATGCTGTTTTAATGCTGTAAGTCTCGGAAGAAATAGCCAAAATTGATCTTCTAGATTAATTTCTATAAGTTTTTTATTATTGTATGATTTTAGAAATAGAATTTATGAATTTTTTATAACTATATAAAGGAAATGAGAGACTTTTATTTTAGAAATGAGAGACTTTTAGAGAGGTTTCAAAATCTCGACATCTCAGTCTTCGGGAGATGTTTAAGACATATTGAATTATCGGTTCAGGACATTTTGTGCAAATCAGATCAAAATATATGGCGTTAGAGGCGTTAAAGTAAGATTTTTTCTTTTTTTTTTGCAGTTGATGCAAGTGCAGCAGGATCTGGCAATTTGGAAATTATGATAAACGGTGGTCGTGTGGCGTGTCGTGTACGTGAACTGGGTGGACGACATTACTTAGCTTCATTCACTCCCACTCAGGTTCGTTCATTTTTAATAAATTGTTATAATCTCATATAAAGTTATCTTGTGATTTAACAGTCATTCAAAATAGGTCAGAGCAAAGTAACTTTCATTACTATCAACTACATCTGTCTAATTATTAAGTGCTATATACAATCTATTTTATTTTACAAATCAGTAATTTATTAAAATGAAATTTACTGCAAATTTCTAAATATTCGTAATAATAACTGATAATTGTTTCTCTTCCTGTGGAAACCGAGGTCGATAATGGCAAAAGTCGTTGTTATGCAGTACATTTTCAATGAACATTTTTTGTAGGCAATAACACACATTGTTGAAATGCGATTTAATGGTGAAAATGTCAGGATGTCACCATGGAAAATTCAGGTCAGAGGTTCTCAGCATCAGATAAATGCAGATTATGAGGTAGAAGAACGAATGATACGAAGTATCGAAAGTAGACGGTGTGATATTTATTTTCATTCTGATTGACTAACTTTAAAAAAAACGTTTAAGTAATTTATTTCATGTAGGATAAGGTAGTCAGAAACTTTGATATCTTTGTAAATCTTCCTTGCATCTTACAGACGCCTAAGTCGAAAGTACAGATTTGACCGATACAAACTGAATTGTCATGAACTTTCAGAGTTCTTACTAGGTGTCAATGATAATGACTTTTTAATCCGAACAAGTTGCTCTGTAGTCACGCAAATTTTGATATGCTTAAGAAGAATAATAAACACTCTAGACGTCTGAGTAGAAACTAAATGGCATCCAAATATTTACCTGTAAATTATACTTTTCTCATATGCAAAATAATTCCTGCTGTGATTTTAGAGTTGAGCGAACCGAATCCTGGTATACAGAATTAGCCGGAATAGGACTGCAACGTGCTTCTGTTGGTAAATCTACTACATTCGAAATAGTCGGTGATGGTATCACAGAAACTGATGTGCAAGCACGAATATATGGCAAGCTTTTTAATTTTCTGATATTTCCTGAAATGTGGAAGCTTCACAGGATCCACTGCCCCTTTACTTTTCCATTCCATTATTTCACTTTTTTAATGATTTATTAAAATCCTCCTCTTTTTTGATTATAAAAAATAAAATCCTTTTGTTTAGAATTCATAATGTTAATGTTTCTTCTTTAGGTCCTGATGGTATCGACTTACCTATAAGTGTTCATCGACGAAGTGACAACAAGCTCATCTGTGAATATGTTATTAATAAGGTTAGTAATGCCATAATCAATCATGAAGTTTTGCTACTTTATAATAAGATTAATGACATGAAACTTTCTACTTATTGACAGCTTACTTTTTTCATTCCCTATGAGATTGTTCATAATCACTTTATTGTTCATTCATATCATCTGTATAGGAAGATAAAGAAAAAGCGTATCTGTACCAGAGCAGACTTTCAGAGGGGCTTAGCAGGTTTAGCGAATTATATTTCCGACTTTCCTATTATTTAGCTAAGCCTTTCATGTAATATCTTAAGTTTTTTCAGAATATTTCTTCTGTTTTTGCAGGTTGGTGACCACCATCTGGAAATGGTAATTTGTGGCAAGAAAATCGATCCATACCCACTGACTATTTCCGGATATTCCGCTGAAAGTGTAAAAATTGAACCTCTTGGTGGTGGTACACCTGGACAACCTGTGCAGTTTATTGGTGAGCCTTAATTTGTATTCACCTCAATTTAAATTATTTATATAATTGTCATCACCAATTTTGAAATGTCGTAAATTTTTCACAAAATTTGTGGTAGGGACGATAGAATAGTACGAAATTGTACAAATCGAAGCACTTTTATTACGGATACATTTTGTGAATGCTAACTTTCTCTTCCTTTCCACTTCTTTTCCATCCTCTCTGAGCTAGCCTTAGGATATCTGCGCACCTGCGTTTTGACAGATGTACCGCCGCAGTCGAACTCCTCGCCTGACGTTGTCTTCCGTACGAGTCGTTAAACCATTGAGTGGCTTAACTGAAATCAAAAATTTCGAAACACACATAATACTTCAATTCTCGTTTTAACGAATAAGTAAAGAATTCTAAAGTGATGTTTTTGTGATATAGCCTTCGTTAAAATGCAGAAAAAACGACATTTCTACAGTTTTGCTATCATTTAATTTAATTCCACCCTACTTCAATGTGAAATTTAAGTTAAATGGAGTTCAATTACATCGTTTTTCTCAATTCGAATTTTTAAAGGCAATTTTCAAATCGAAAAACCTAGAAGTCTAAATTTAGAAACTTCTCCATTATCCTGGAATTATAATGGAAATGAACTGAGTTTCTCATCAAATTTATGAGAGAACAGAGAAGAGAGCTACGAATTGACATGGTAGTATTGATTAATTGTAACATCCAGTGAATTTCTAACTTTATTATTTTTTGCTTGTGATTTGATGTTTCTTATTTCTTATTAAATTAAAGATTTTTTGATCAGCAAGCTAAAGCTGCTTCCGTTCCGGTGACTAAACGGATTTCAATGATGGATTAAGTGACGGACTGAGACTATGACAATTAAATTTTATGGCTGACAATTTCGACTTGCAAGAAATTATGGGCTTGTCTCCAGACTATGATGTACCTAAGTAAGCAGATTTTCTTATGCATAAGACAGCGTAGACCAACTTCCTTACTGTGGTACATCACAGCCTGGATAATTTTTCTGAGAGTCAAGCCTGATAAATATAGCAACTTGTAGATTTGTGCCAATTAATTTTAGATTAAATTTTGGAATCGAAATCTTAGTCTTAATTCGTCACTTAATCCATCAAAATCTATTCCAAAATCTCGTTTGAATTGCAAAACTGATCAGAACTAAGTCAGGTTCCGTAGCTTTAGGTGCTTTAACTTTTGAAGAAAAGGAAGTAAACAAGAAAATTCTTACTCAAGTTTGTTTTCACGATAAATCATTTCAATATGGCATTCTAAAGTATTATAATTATAAGACAAATTTCAAAGATTTTTTCAGTTTTCAATTTTTTAAAATGAGATTTTTTCATTGTTCCTCAACGTCTTTCCACGATATTTCTTTACAATGAGAGTAATAGTCTTCTTCCTCATTGTATTCGGTAAGTGAGGACGGGAAATGGTTGGGATTCGTTTTATTCATTGATGAATAGTGGCGCAAATCCTTGTTTACTTTATGACAAAGGAATTAGCACAGGTAACATCCTTCATCATATTTTGTTGGTACAGGAACGCATCTATTATTTTTCACACCACTTTGCAGTGATTGACCTCGATTTCCGGCCCAAAAAAAAAAAGTTCATGCATCGTAAAGTCGATGTCGACATTTTGCAGTATCATTGGTGATAATACAGATTTTATACTTCAGTTTCCTTTTCCACATAATCATGAGCCTTTCTTTTTCCAATCTTAAAATCTTTTTCAATGCTTAGACTTCTTTCTTCATATTTTTGTTCTCTTAGGAACATTAATGCTGTAAATATATAAAATTGGTCGCATTTTATTATACACTTCAAGGAACCATTCTCCCGAGAGTTCATGCAAAAACACCGAGGATACTCGGCATTATAATATTTCCGGATTTTTTAACCAGTGAAAATGAGGAGTAGTGTTTCGCAGTTTTATATGCAAAATAAATATATTTGCAAGAATGAAAATTTGTTTATCACTCTAAAGTTATCCATCGGCTTTTTGACTATATCAATTTAATTACTGTCATATTCTTATGCGATATCCCTATGGCAGTTTGTTCATAGTTTTACGTCATCACTTCACATGTTTCTTTTCGATCAGGTTTTCTGGTTTAGGGTTAAAACAATTTCTGTTTATCTTTTATAACGTCACATCTTACCATAGTCTGTTTATGTCAATCACATCACTCTCCTATTCTGTCTATCTTATCACTTCAACTAACATTAAATTGTTTCTTCTGTTACATTGGTGTTTTACGGGGCAAATACTCTTTTTTTGCAGCCAGTATTTCACTAAGCAAGTAATGTCGAATTCCTAATACATAGTTAGTTGACACTGTTCATTAAACATGTAACTGAAATGACAGTTGTTAAGAAAAGGAAAGTATTTTAAGCTAAGTAAAGGACAGTCTTCGATGGAACCAAACTTCTTGGAAGAAATGAAAAGCTCGAGATGGACGGATACGGTTCCCAAAAGCGCCCTATAGTTTCGTTGAAAAGATCCGCTTATGATGATTTGAAAAAAAGGAAGACAGACAGCAAATGTTGTTCCTTACCACTTTGGATTACTTCCACCAGCTGAGAAATAGAAGAGTGAGAAAAAATTTTTTTGATTTGATAATAAAATGAAGAGATACTGGAATGCCTTTTTTTTAAATCTCAACTAAGGATTAGTCCATCGACCTGCGACCTATGATAGTCTTTAACTGATCTAAAATTGATCTTCAGTTGATTGAAAAGTTTTTCATGCAAAATTTATGTCCATTCTCATAGTCATACAAAAAAGAAAAACTATTTTTTGATGGACACTTTTTTTAGAAGATAGTTTTGTTGAAATAATTCTTTAGGATTGGGGAATGTCCCAACGTTCCATAGATGGCATTTGTTCTATGAGACATTTGTCTGGAAACTTTTCATGCCGACTAACAAATTCTCGAAGTTCGGGCCAATTACTATCTATCTTTGCTTCCCAATAATACGAACTTCGCATCTGCGTGTGTCGATGTTCCATGTTTGATATCCTGTCTTAGTGTCCCATATCACCGAGTTCAGCTCATGCTGATCGGTACCGGAGGCGGAGCGGTTCACTCTGTTCTTTATGCTGTCATCCTGCCTTCCTCCATCCATCCATGCACTTCATGTCGCTCTCAATCAGTGACAGGAAAGCAACAGTCACTGTGGCATTATGTCAGCAAAGTGGAGAGCTACTTTCTGAGCATTGTTGGTTGGTTGACAGTAGCTTACTATTTTCTCGTTATCTACCTCTGGTCAAATATTTTGCATAGAAGTAATCATTATCATTCCTGTCCACTGCTGCTGTCAACATTGAACATTGTCGATCAGCTGATATCATCGTCGCTGCAGTTATCATTACCACAAATAGTGCCTAAATCAACACTTTCTTCTCAGCTGTCAACTTCCCACCATGTCACCCATTAAACAACAGTGACAGCAAAAGTAATGTTGACAATACATTCAATTTGGGCAGGAATTTCTTACTAAATTTACTTTCTAATCGTTAAATCGTCTTCTTATCGCTTTTGATATTATTTATATTCTCACTAGTACATTTTTCTTTTCCTACCGTTAATCGAACATTTATTCTGTCGAATTACTTGCTTATCGTAATCCATCTCAATCTCAGATATGCAATAATATCAACAGCTTGTACTCTTCAACTTTGTGACATTCTGAATTATTCGACGAATTTTCCATATATCTATATTTTATAATTCTCCAGTGGAAGCAAATTCCGCAATTTATTTTTAAAAAATGAGTGAAGAACGACGTTACCTATCACAATTATATGTTTTGCCTGCAGTTGATGCTGTTAATGCTGGAAAAGGACAGCTGGAAATCAGTATTAATCAGGGAAAAGTACCAAATAATGTGCAAATGCAAGGTGCAGGGCGTTGTTTGGTTACGTTTATTCCACAGTATCCCGGCAAATATGTTATCGATGTGACATTCAACGACGAACAAGTACAAGGTATGTTTTCTATTTTCAATTTAATCTTTTCTGTTACTTTCACATAAGGTTGACATTTTATGGAAAATATTAACAATGTTTTGTTTACTTAATTATTCATGGCAGTAGTAAGGGAAAGGTAACAGAAATTTGATGAATTCGGAGCGGTGATACTTTTGCACATGGCAGTATGATGAACAAAATTATCATTGAACGAGTTAAAAACTCACAGAGAAAATGTACTATAGAGAAAAGAGCAAAATGAGATCAGTGATTTCTGGTCAGGAAAAGGACAAATAGAAGACCAAAAGAAGCATAGTTAAATTTTTGCGAACTATGCATTCGTTGAGCAGCAACATAAAGAGAGATGACAAATTACTCCTTTAGAAGCTTGTAAATATTTATTTTTACGTCGTTGCTTCGTTCTTTTTTACCCGGTGATTGAAAGCCTTTCCTGATTCAAATATGCTTCATTTGAATCAAAAAAAGGATTCCGAAGACATGTGAAAAGGAATGAAGTAATAACATAGAAATTTACAGGCCAAGCTCCTAAAAGAGTAATTTATTTATTCAGTCATTTTTTACTAATAAATTTCTCATGGATTTTGTTAAAATTAAGTTTAATCCTTCATCTAAACAAACCATATCTATCCTGACAGAGTAGGAAGAAATTGCATAGTTGGAATGTTCCTAATTGCACTGATTAGGCTTGGAAACATTGGCCTAGTGAGGTCTGTGTTTGAGTGTTATTATAAAGATTTGGATGACAATATTTTTAGTTACCGAGAGAATTTTCATGAATTCATATTGCATTCATGTTTTGGGAATTAATGCAGCAAATACTATTGGCTGTCTTTGTTCTTTAATAATAATGATTTTTTAAAAAATCTAGCGAACAAGAGATCAAACTTAATCTTTACCTTAAAGGGAGTCCATTTAAATCACTGTGTGTTTTATCGCAATTGAATCTCGTAATTCCAATTTTCATTTTTTCCATTATATTTTTAAAAACAAAATGTGCAGTTTCCCTTTCTCCTTTTATAACATATCAATGGAAGGACCCGCATTGTACTATTGAATCTTCCGTCATTACCCATCGATGAATATCTTAGCTTGTGGAAGCGCTCATATGATTTACTACATAAATAATAAAGATTGCTCAAGTTCTGGGGACCTTATCCAAGAAATTACTCATTCCTGCAGTTACTGCTGAGAAATACCATTCCATTAATCCTCCATTCTGATGATAATAAAGCAATATATCGAAGTGATATCAAATCCAGTATTAGAAAGTTCAAAATGGATAAAGTCATATTTTGAGTCACATTCTTTTTATATTTGCCAAAAAGTATTCAGAGAAGTAAATATTCATATTTATTGATGATAGTTTGTACCGGGACCATTCTAACAAATATATTGATTTATTTTCCAGGATGTCCAATTTGTGTTGATATTTTACCGAAGCAGGTTGGTCAAAGTGTTTCAACATCCGTAATTTCTCAGCAGACAGCAACAATCACATCTTCTTCATCCTCAGGTTACCAAAGTTTCAAAATTTGGATTTCTAATTGAAATGATTTCGGAAAAATGATAAGTCTTAATACTAATTTTTTGAGATGTCATTATAGTTCACTTATAAGAATATTCATGAAAAGTAGCCAATTGGTAGGATAACGATCTATGATGAAAACGAAATTTCTATTCCTCGACTTTTTGATATAACTGAAGAAACTTGTCAGTATTAGTGTCGAAGAGCATGAAAACTGTACGATTGGTCGGAAATTAAATACAACATATCGGAAAGTAATCCAACTAGCAGATATATTCATTGTACAACACCATACCAGAAATCCCGTAGAAGTTTTTCCATAGAATCCGTCTGTGCATTGTTGCATCCATCTTCAGTAGCAGTAGTAATTTTAGATTTGAAATAGGTCATTTTCCCTACAAATAATGCTTCCCCTTCTCGGTATGTTTCATTTATTTACCTAAAATTAAACATGTATGCGAACTCTTACTCTTACATACTTGGCTATTAAAGAGGCAATATGCAAACGTTGACATAAATTTGTGGTTAGCTTTTCGATTATACAATGACATAGTGGTTGTTGTGTCATGTTTTGATGTCATCAGCTGCGGTCCAATTATCTCAATTTAATAGCATGAGGTGTGCATTAGTTACTTATAAACTGGTCCTTATTATCTGGTTTTCATGAAACGATCATCAATGATGGAAGAATATGTTATTCAGTAGCATTTGCACCCAAATTTCCTCTGGAATGATTGTTGTAGCATTGCTGTCTCTGTAATAACAGAAGTGCAAAAAAAAATCTCTTATTTAATAAATCATAATGGGATGGTTTTATTCACTCTGTTTCATTATTTTATACAACGCAGTAGATAGTGGGAATAACCTACTTCAAATTAAGAAATTTTTGAAAATCTAAAAAAGTTTTCTGGAGAGAAAATATTTCAAACTTTGAAATTTTGCACAGTGGACACAAAAAACTTTTCATTTGCAAAGCGAAATCACAGTTTCTCTAGAATTCGAGAATTAAATTACAAATCAGGGTATCCGGTTCCAGTTTCTAATTTATATAAATCTTCGCTTACATTTTTGACTTGCGATTATTAGTTTCTTTTCTTCCTCTTACAAACTTTCTAATCCTTTTTTCTCTCTGAATTAAAGTAAGAAAAAAGTTGCTGCGCTGATGTTACATCTCGATTGAATTTAATTTTTGACTCATAATCAAAAAAAATTCTGCTACCTGGATTGGTGAAGATTTGTAAGGGACAAGATATTATCGCTTTAATAAATCCCTTCTTTTGTTGGGAACAGGTGAGAAACATAAGATTGAGGAGAATTCTGTACGCAGAAAATATTCATGTCTTATAAGACTGCAATTGATAATTGCATCTTCAAAGCAATTTCCCTATGCTTGTCCTTGGGCAAAGTTTTTCATGCAAAATCGCATAAACATACCTCTCGTAAACATCCAAAACTTTCAGCATATATTAAAATTCTTAACACCAAATCGTTATATTAAAAAAAAAGTCGTAGTATATGACTGTGTTATATTCGTGAAGATCGAATCGATCATGCATTATTTGTCATTATGACATTAACAACAATCGGTAAAGGACGATATGGAAAGTAGGGAAAAACAGTTGCCCAATTATTTTATTCATACCTTTCCCTAACCTTTTCATCAAAAATAACAGAGCCAGAAATAAATGACAGACTCATTTCTTACTACTCTCAAGAGTTACTTACTTACAAGTTCATTTCTCTCAAAAGGCTCAAACTGGTAAAATATTTCCCAATACATTGTTGTAGAATGTTGATTTCTTTATTATCATCTCCATTTGTTTATTATTTTGTTACATATTTGGAGTTATATTACTCTCTGATTTGTTCCGAAAAATTGTATGATAAAGAGAGGAGAATGTTCACATCCATTAAAGGGACATACAAAAAAATATGGCAAAGAAGATTATTCAATTTAGTGTTTCATCTGTCCTCTTAAAAAAATATCCCTTGTGCTAGAAATATCTGTTAAAAATTTTCTGCATTATTTTGATGCAATCCTCACTTATTCTGGATTGAAAGACGGTGTTTAACGAAAGTATCCATTAGTTCATTAAGATTAGCAAATATCGATTGAATTCTTGTGCTAAGAGTATCCTAATCAAATGTGAATTGTTGTAATTTTGATTTCTGTTGAAAGCTTTTCTTTTTGCTTCCGGCAGATATTTTTTGTGGTTTCAGTTTAAATTAACGCTTGCAATTGAACAGCAAACCAATTCGGAAAAGAAGTTAACAATTTCAAGTTCCGGAAACATTTGACAAATATGAGAAGATTCATGTACAATGTTTCTGATTTTTACAAACAAAACTGTTTATACAAATTGCATTTTGCAGTGCAAAAGCCGACATCTTATGGATTAGCCATGGAGGACGGTGTCGAATCATCCAGTTCTTCCGCCCTCCTGAAACACGCACGTGAAAAGTCACTTGATCGATCACTTTTTCCGGAACATTTTAAATCTCCGGATTTATTACAAAAAGTTGAACCCAAAACTACTACTCTTACTGACGAAAACCGGCATAGGTGTGTTTAATTAAGCATGCTGTCAGCAACCTTTTAAAAGACCATTGCAAGGGCTAAAAAGATTGAAATTCGTGGTGAGCGGTTTAATAACAATTTGCACAAACTGAGAGCACCGTTCAGCATACGATTTTCCTAAATTCATGACTTCGACCTTGATTTTGTTAATCTACTGAATATGACAAGTGAGTTTTAATCTTATCTGAAGCGGTAAGATAAGATACGACCACCAAGAGTTCTAGATGACTGCCAAACTTCACATATGCTTCTAAAATTATTGTTCCATGTTTTGACTTAAATTCGATGAAGTTTTAAGATTTTACCTTTCTTATATAATTCTCGCTATGAATTAAGCAATCAGCAGTCAGCCAGCCTTTTCATCATATCCTAAGTTACATTCACCATCAGTTAGTAACGAAAGCTTTTCTATGCTGATTTATCTCTTCATTTTTGATAAACTTACAAAAACGGTAGGAAAGTTGGTCAGTTTCAAACTTGGAATATGCAGTTTCATTTCAAAGCTATGAAAAGATAAATTTAAAAGAGGATAAGTGTAATGTAAGTTATAAAGATTTGTCTGAAATGGAAAATCTTTGTTCATTTCTCTTCCAAATTTAAGCTTTTTTTCTTGTTTTTAATTCTACTGAAAGTTCATGTACTTCAGGTTACGAAAAATTGATGATTACGATCCAATAGCGCTAGAAAAAGAACGAGAAACTGATCGGACATCTTCAAATTTAATTGAGAAAAAAGATGATCGATTAGGTTATATGGTAGCTCAGTATGGTAATGGTACAGTTGCTAGTGCTGGTGTCGCACCAGGACAAACAGTCAGTAGTCGAACTTTTACAGGTCAGTACTTATTTCCATTAATTTGAATGAAATTGCATATTAAATATAAAATGATATCCAGTGAAGTAGATAGAGATAGAGATAGTGTATTGCATTTGCAGATGACGGACGGGGCATCGTGACGTCCACTTATACGGCCGAAACACGTTATAGCAACATATCACCGGCTAGAACGTATGAGTATGCAAAGGGGACAATGACGAATTTGCCTTATGATGAGCGGACTGCTACACCAACAGTATATACAGAAGTCAGGGCTTTTGAAATTCCGAAATCCAAAGAATTGGCTTCAACGGTACAATCTGACTCCAGTGATCTACATTCACATAGTTATCCATCGTTTCTGGATCCTTCTCGATCATCTCCATCAGGAATTATAAGTTATGATACTAAAGATAGGGTCAAATCATTCGACCAGTTGGAAAGTAGAAGTAGCTTTATAACAGATAGCCGACGTTATGATACTAAATCTTCAAGTGAATATCATGATTTGGATTCAAGCAGCTACAGTGTTCGACGATACGGTACAGGAAATGTCGGAGCAGCAGACCAAAAGCAAGTGCAATTAAAATATTTCGGCGAAGAATCGATGAAATTAAATGGAACTAGAACGTCAAGAAATGATATTGACATGGTAAAAACAACTTACGAGCCTTATCGTTCTTCGACGAACCTAATACCATCTGGTGGATACCTTAAAAATAAGCTTGGTTCGGACAAACTTTGTTCCAATGGATATTTGAAAGAAAATGAGTCATCGGAAACTGCTAAAGGACCAAGTTTTGAAGCTCCAGTAATAGCATCTTATGGTAGAGCCAAATCAGCTGATATAGCTGACAGACAACAAAAAGCTTCACAAAAAATTGCTGTCCTACCGACAACAGTCTTGGAACGATCCGAGGAAATGGAACGATTGCCGAAAAGCTGGGAATCAGTTGAAAAGGTAGATGCAGATACTTCGTGTTATCGGAAAAAGTCACCAGTCAAAAGTGGGAAAGTGGAAGTGCGAGGGAGTCATCAGTATTCAGGTGATATCCGGAAGAGTATCATTTCTTTTCGTTGTTTTTTCGTTTCTTCCCTGAGTGGTTGCCTGATCCATTGTCTGTATTACGTAGTTGAAAATATTTTGCCAAAAGATCTTACTATTACCGCGAAATCACAAACTTGTTTCCTGAACCTATGAACTTCTTGCGACTTTTCAAGTGTCTCATTTCGAAATCACATGTTCAACTTTTATCGCCGTCTTTTATCAATTGTTAGATAATAACATAGCTATGTAAAACTCAGTTCAAAAACTGATTACGGAAGAAGTAATGATGGTCGTTTTCAAGGTATCGGTGAACAAGGTTATCGTAGCGTGAATATTGCAAGGGATGACGAACGATGTTGTGATTCATCACGATCCATGGAAGAACCGTTTCAGACCTTGAGGAGGTATGTGCGAATCTTATTAAGTATTACAGGTGAACAAGTCAACTAGTATATATACATGTGTGTCCATTCACCACTTTATAAATAACGTAAAATAAAAGAACTAGTTTTGATCTGATTATGTCCTGGATATTTTTTCGATTAGTTTTTCCTCGCCACCAAACAGAGTTATATAATGGGGAATAAAAGCGTGAGAGAATGATAAAATAATGGAGCAGTGATGTAGTTAGTAATTGTTGATGGTGTAATTCTAGAGATCGCGACATGGAACCAACGTTTTTGTCGACAGCACCACAACGGACAGCCGATTATATGCGAGCAAGAGAGGAAGGAAAATTTGGTGCATTCCAGGAGATGGATTCAGTTCTCTCTTCACAACGGTTAATTTTTTCTTTTAAAATCTTTTCTTTTACTTTTACATATTTTGATAATAAAACGCATTGGGCATACTTGATATTAGTCTGCCTTCGTGATCATTAAGCAAGTTTAAACAATTTAACGATCGATCCTAACATGTTAACTTCTTCACATTAGTGATAATATGTGATATTTATGTGATACTAATGTAGCTTAGTGATACTGTGTATGTTTCGAATTACTCCACCATTCCTGTACAATAATTTCTTAAACTAAAAACCTAATCTTAATACGATTTCATCATATTATGTTAGTGAACCATCTTGTGAATTGATCAAGTACCGTAATTTGCGCACTTGACGATGTTCATTTGATGATCTGTCTGTCGCAAAAAACTCGGTTAATAGTAGTATTTATTAATAATATTACGCTGATAATATCTTTAGTGCCGAGGATAACAACAGATCTCAAAAAAAGGAAGCTCTTTCCTCATTTGCTTTCTCATTGCCAATGATCAAATAATAAAAAGTTCAAACAGTAGGCCATATTGGAGTTTACCTATATTTACGTCTTGTCTTTTGAATTTCTTGAAATTATTCTTTCTAATCTGTGACTTTTCAGCAGATTTTCTGCAGGACAGGCATGAAGGTAATACCATTTGAGAAATCAAGTGATATATTTGTTCTCCTATAACATAGGAATTCAAGAAAAAACACAGGCAGTACAGTTCATTAATTGGAATGAACATGATAAAATATAGTTAACTATAGGGTAATATGAAAGTACTGTTGTTTCAAATTGTCGATTATAACAATAGCAATCTCGACAATCTCGATGATGATGGTCGATTTCAGATGATAAGGGCAGAGGAGAGTTATCAGTTTGTCAGCTCTCAGGTTATATTTTAGGTTCATCAGTCGAGCAATGAGAGCCAAAAGATGCTCTACCTACAATGTTGCAAGAGCCAATGTTCAATTTTGCTAATAGTTTTCCCTTCTTCCTTCCTTTTTTTGCCTTTTCTTGTTTTTTTTTTTTCCTACCGTCACCTCCTTTTTTGTCTGTCCTATTGTTATCCAGCTTTACTGAATTCTAGATCCTAATCAACACTCTGTCAGTTCCAAAATAAGTAGACCGAGCAGATATGCAGATCATCAATGACGACATTATGGCAATTGAGTGGCCTCCTGTGATCTCCTTATTTTTTGACCCTATTTTCAGATTTCTTTCTTTTCTCTGGTTTAAATCGAACTGCCTTTCAATCGAACATTTTTGACCTTTATATTATCTCATTTTGCTGCCGTATTAGCGTTTCACACCACTATTTTAGTTGCCTACTTATTCTAGAATTAGAATCAAACTATCCTTTACTTCCTATTTTCTAATCTTTAGACTTTGTTTGCTTTATGTGAAGTGAGTTCCTGTCATCTGTATCAGACAATTTGAGACATAAGGGAAGATAAAGGTTGTTTATCCGATTCTTTTTATCATTTTTATCTCAGATTGTAATTTTTTAATTGCCTCCCAAAAATCTCTCTCTATCAGCGGTTAGTTACACTTTATTTAATGAATTTACATATGTTTACTATATTATTTCAGGATTACTATATCGTTTCAGACCGCTAAAGTTCGAATATGGCGAACGAGAAGGTCATATAACAGATATAGTGGAGGAAGCAACATTGACGCCACGGACACGACGAAAACTTCAGGAACAAAAAATCCGACACGAGGAAGAACTCGATGTATGGTTCAAATTTAATTTAAAATTACTGGAAACCTGATTTACTAGAGTGAGCATTAAGGAGGTAATTCCGTTTTTCCGGACTCTTATTTCATTTCATGTTCATCAGACCAGGTCTTATCAAAATTGAAACCACCTGAGTATGAATTTGGCAGGTCTTTGAAGTGCTTTAAAAGTGTTGAACTAATTGAACAATTTTTTTTTTGTTGGTTCGGGTTTATGGGTTTATGTTACCCGTGTTTACATTACCATATCTTTCAATCACTTCGCAAAGTATCTCAAAGGAATCATTTTTCAAAAGGCTTCTAGAAGCCCGTGGCGACTTTTAGAAGCCTCTGGCAACTTTTAGGAGTAAAAAAATAATCAAACTGATATATTTCTGAAATTGTTTCGCGTCCATGTTTCTTTATTATAAACGGAAATGTTTGTGTTCTTTGATTTCAGTCATTTTTGATTTTTCAATTCTTTATTTGGTCCTCCTTTAACAGATTGCTTAAGCTGAAAATTAGAAATTCAAGTTTAGGTATTCAAGTTTTTCTAGTATTCATTTAGCCTTTGCTGAGCAAAATTATACAGGAAAAGCGCGATGAAGCACATAAAGCAATAAAAGACGACTTACAATCAATGCAGGCACTAAATCGTGACGAATTTGAGTTACCTCAATCGAAACCCTCAAGTCCTTCACCCGTATCTACACCTCGAGCAACTCCCAGGCTTAATCTGAAATTCGGAAAGGTTTGCTTTTTGTGTACGTCTTTTTTATGCTGTGTATGTCAACTTGAAAAGTTGGCTATTTTTCAAAAGCTTAGAATGGACACTAGTCAGAAGCATTGTGACATGAATAAGTGACTGCTTCTGACAGCAATGTTACAACTTTTAAAAGGTGTCATGCTAAGCTTTCTTCACATCATGCATTTTTCTTGCAATTCCAGGGAAGTGAGATTAACAAAAAAATTAGGAATTAGTTGAGTACACTTAAATTTATCGGATGACTCACAACTACGTGCCCTATGTCTTGTTCAATGTTTATAGTCCATTTATTTACCTAAAAAATTTTTAGCGATTCTCTCATGAATATTCATGAAGTGGACACATCTATGAGTTTTGCTTGGCAGCTAATTTCCTCTTTGTTCAACATTCCAACCGTTTGTTTGACTATCTGTTGAATGATCTTATCAGTAGTAGAATCATTTAAAACAAATTCCTCTGTATATTTCTCAGTGATACATAATGTTCAGAAGTTGCTTGCAGGGTAAAGAAAGAAAAACGGTTGAAGAAGGTGGTTTCAATTTTGGTAAATCCAAAATAACATCTAAACATGAAATAGTGCGACGTGGGAAAGATGTTGAGGTGAAAGTTGATTCGCTGAAACTTGGCAAAGACGATCAGTTAAAAGTTGTCGTAGTATGTAAGTTTTACATATAATATCATTCAGAAATTTAATATTTGCTCAATCAATCACTGATTAATGAACAGCAAATTGAATCGGGTTAGAATAAGTATTGATCGAAATTTAGCAGGTAATTGACTAGGAATGGCATTAGTTATAAATTATCGCGATGAAATGCGGAAATTTTTTTCCCTGCTGCAATTTGAAGATACTATTAACGTCCAAAATGATTTTTACTATCAGTTGTAATTCTTATAATCAGTATTTGCTTGCTGACTGATTATGATTTGTGACTGTGAATAGTTTATATTTCTTACTTCTTCAATTACCTCTACTCTTTGAAAGTTTTTGCAGTAGCAGCAAAAGGAGCAATAGAACGTGAAGAAATTGAACCGAAAGTGAAGAAATCTCGTCATTCCTATGAGATATCATTTCGGCCAGCAGAAGTTGGAACACACAAGGTACTTGTTAATGAGAATTAAGTATCACGTTGGTCTGTGAATCTCGGCTTCCCCGATGTTTAGTTGAAATTTACGCTATATTTCTCCTTTGAAGACAATTGCAGCTTTGGTTTCAAATGTCACTTTTTTTTGCAATCTCATTTCTTCCTTTTCTTGTGATAATTTCGACTTTAAGCTGATTAAACGAACTGAGCTAATGATTGGAATTGAAAATTACTTCGCTTGACTCATCGTCCATTTAATCTCCAAGCTAATTTGTCGTATCGGAACAATTTGGTAATGAAAGAATCTTCATCGTATATGAACGAATTTGAACCGTTCGATATTTAGTCATAAAGAGTTATACTAGAAGTTTAACAATTCCTGAGTTTTTAAAGATGGAATGAAATAATAATCAGCTTAATATTTGAGGTAATGGTTTATGTAAACGATACCTTGCACCCAATGTGTCCTTTTCCAATCCGTGTCTACGATGCATCAGAAATTATTGTTGGCGAAATTGCGCCTCAGAGCACTATCAATGACACTGTTGAATTCACCGGTTAGTTTTGAAAGATTATAATGAAGGCTTGAACCAAGTAATGCTTAGGCAGGGATCTGCGAAACATAGAAAGTAAGAGTTAGTGTAACTTTCAAATCCTATTCTACTATATAGGTAGAACCAGGGCAAAACTGATTATGACGTTGCCAATACCATTTCCTCGCTTACTCTACATTTTCTCTCTCTTTTATTTCATAAGTTAGAGGTACGGTTAATGGAGATATTAAAAGGTGTTAAAGGATTTCGGCCTGAATATAGTTAGATTCGATCACCAGATTGGTTTGGAAGTCCTTGCAGAGATATTTGGAGGATTTCGGAGCGCACTGTTCTTCTAGGTATGGTAGTAATGGAACCGAACGCAAACGACTGACTCTCCTGTTTATATAGTGGGAGTGGTTTACAATATTCTCATAAAATACATATTATTTTTTAATAGACTGAAAGAAGGTTACAATAGAGGAATTTTATGGTTACAATAATCGACATGGGAATATAAATTTGGTAATATATTTGAATGCCTTCAAACAGGGAATGCTGTCAGCACAACATAGGGCTTTATGTCTCCAATTTAGACATTGCAGTTGAAAACAGAATAACAAATCAATGTTAGATAGTTACAACATCTTACAGCACGAGTTGGGCTACACATTTACGATGTCAACATTATTTTTATACTGAAATATTTTGGTTTTTTAAATTGTGATATCAAATATTTCAAATATATCCTCTTATTCTGAATCACAAATTTAATGACATCATTGTTACAGTTGACGCTGGCCGAGCAGGATTTGGAAATCTTGAAATGGCAATTAAGGATAGCGATGGTATCATCATACCATCTCATGTAGCACAACTGGAAACGGGAACTGCCAAATTCTTGGTGACATTCAATCCGACCACTATAGGAATGCACACTGTCAACATTACATTCAATAAGGAAGTCCTCAAAAGTATGCTTTTGAATAGTTGAATTACTAATCGGCACTATTCCTACAGTCTTTCATTAGCTTCTTTGTCAAATCATTGTTTTCTTAATATTAAAAGTAATTACTTCGTTTTGATGGTATTGAATTGAAAAAGTATTCTCAGTTTACTGTTTGCTTTTAGATAGTCCATTCGAAGTAAATATTGTAGACGAAAGGCCAAACGAAGAGGTGGAGAATGTGTATGTTTTACTTTCCATACTTTTGAATTTAATACAAAAAATGTTCGTAAAACAGACTGATGAAATCTTTAAGGAGAGAGTTAGAGGTTGTTGAATTTTTGGTTATTAAATTTCAGATCTAAAATAAAACAGACTGGATTTTGTTTCCGTAACTGAGCTTTACATTTGTACGATTCATTGCAGTTTGCTGGATGGAAAAAAAAGATTCACGAAAGGAAAAGGAAGAGAAAAAACGCGAAGAAAAAGAACGCATGAAAAAAGAGAAAGAGGAAAAGTTGATGGCTGAAACGCTAAAAAAAATAAAGTATATCATGTTTATGAAAAGAAAGTCTTTTACTGCATGTAAATAAAAAATCTAAAATTCGTTTCCTTATTTTCTTAGGGAAAGGAAACGAAGAAGAAGAAGCATCAAATGGAGAAGAGAACAAGTGTTTCCAAAATCCCATCTTTAAGTCGGGTTGGACGACCAGCACAGATCCTTATTACGCTGGCTGGCGAGGAACCACTTGACATCACTGTAATAGGCAAGTTTTAAAATCTTTCAATAAGAAAGTAATGGTAATGAATTTTAAAATCAATTTTGTAAATATGACGGTGGAGAGGAATTCGGTAATATTTACGAAGTTTTCCTACTCTAAAAACTTGCTAGAATAATTATGCCAGCATATTGAGTACATTATGGAATTTGCATTTCAGATCCTGAAAAAAGAGAAGTTGAAAATTCCATGTCCGATCATGAACCTGGCGTTAAGAAAGTTGAATTTATACCTGTGCAAGTGGGTATGTCTTTGAAGAACTCGGTGTTTTCAAATTTGTTTGATCAGTGTTACTAACCCAAGCTATTTTGACATTGCTCGTGGAACTTCGTGTTCGATACTTCGATATTGTTATATATATTTGGAAATTTCAACCATTTTTTTCAAATCATTTCTCCTTTTTGATCTTACTTGAAGTCTTTTTTTTTGTCTCCTTTACTTCATTGTATTCTACTCTTTGTTTTCTTTTTACTTTGTGCCAATCATCTTGCCCATTTTAGTGCTTAATTTTACTAATAGTTTTAGCAGTTCATTGTTTCAGGTGACCACGAAATCGAAGTGAAATATGCAGGAGCCGATGTTCAAGGCAGCCCTTTTACTTGTCGAGCATATGATCCAGCGAAAATCAGTGTCGGTGATATTCCTAACAGCGTGGTCGACAGACCAGTCCATTTCATTGGTTTGGTTTTGCATAAAATTGAAATGACAGTTTTAAGATATGCTTGTTATTCGGGTGATTGTTTTATAGTCGCAATACGACGTATGCTAAAACCGTATGTTAGAAAAAAAGTATACTGAAAAAATCGTTCTAATCTAACTCTCCTGAGTTTTTACCATATTTGGAGTATGCGTGCTTTCCGTTGAAACTGAGATCCAGGTTGACTGAGGCTGCTCTGATTTTCTTGTATTTTACAGTGGATGCAAGTCAAGCAGGTGTCGGCAATCTGGAAGTAGCAGTAAACGAAGGGCGCATTCCATCGATGGCGCAGTCACTTGGACAACATCGTTATGATATATCCTTTGTACCTAGAGAACTTGCCGATCACACCATATCTGTTCGTTTCAATAATGAACCCGTGCCAGGTAAGCAAAAATTAAAAGGAGACTCAGCGTTAATGAATGAGATCTCCTCACTCTGTATCAACTTTTTAACAGAGTAATAGTCTTAATCATTAAAAGTAGGGTCAAGTATGAAAGATTAGGAAAATCACAGTGTTTTACAAGAGAAGTTTGTTTAGATGCGAAGCCCATTAGATCACCTGATCATTATTTTTTTACAACTGGTTTGAATTGTAAATTTCAAGGCCGTCATTTTATTTGAGAAGCAGAAAGGATAAGAAAGCATAAAGACATCTAGATTTACCACAAATCATTTAGATTCTTAGTTTTTAATTTACTTAAACATCAAGTTTGTTATGACCATCCTTTCTTCAGCTTCTCTGATTAGAGCATACCAAGGAGAAGAGAGAAATAGGGGAAAGAGAGAGAGAGAGAGAGAGAGAGAGAGAGGAGGGAGGGAGGAGG